TGTAATAAGTTTCCTTGAAGAATTCAATTATTTTTAAAAATGTTAATAAAGTTCTTCGAATACATAAAATTATTTTCAATTCAATTGTAATAAAATTTTTTGTAGGATTTTAATTTTTTTCAAGAAAATTTTAATCAAATTTCTTGAAGGAATTCGATCATTTTTATGAATTTTAATAAATTTCTTTGAAAGAATTTAATTATTTTAAAAAATGTTAATAAAATTATTCACAAGAATTCAATTATTTTCAATACAATGTTAATTCAATTTCTCAAAAGAATTTCGTTATTTTGAAAAATATTGATAGATTCATTCAAATCAATTCAACTATATTTTTATTAATAACAAAATTCTTCTTAGAAATGGAATTAATGTCAATTTTGCTAACTTTTTTCTTTAAAAGATCCTTTGTTTTTGTACACAACAAATTCTTCGCAGAAATTAAAATAAAGTTTAAATATATAGTTAGTTACAATTAAAATACAGTTTGCTTTTATGAACACAGCTGTAAATAAGTTAATTTTTCCCAATCAACAAAATCTAATAGCCAAAAGACGCGAATAAATTCAATAAAGATGAATTTTCGATAATGGAAAATTCCGAAAGCTAAAAAACCCCCTTGAAATTTAATCAAGAAATTTTTTCCAAGGGAATTGGGTACATGCATCACACGGTTTGCCCCCAAGGGGGTGGAGAAGGAGGGGGGGGGGGGGTTTGGGAATATCATTGAATTTTGCGCTTCCCACCAACTACAAGTGCCCCTACACATTTATTCGCTACGTCGGATACACGTTGCATATTGGATTGTCTGGTCGATGTACACAGTCACATGGTTTGAATTTCTAGTTTCTTATTAAAAAAAAAAAAGAAAAGAAAAAAAAATTGTCTACCCAATATAAAAATACATATTGCCATTTTACTCGCATCTATGAGTAGTCATTGGCACATATGTTTAATACGACAATTTCGCCTCCTCGCAATTTTTAGTACCAATCTACCAATATATGAGTCCGGCTATATAAGAAACTGCTTTATGTCACGTGATATTAATAGTATTAAAGAATGTTAGTCTCCGACGATGACTTTCCTAGAATGAATCGACGAGAGAAAGACCTTGGAATTTTTTTTGTCTTTTTTCGTTACATTCAGTCTAAATAAATTATTATACAAAGATTTCTTCCAAAGAAGACAATTGGAATCAATTCTTTTTCTTTTTTTGAAAAAGAACAATGAAGATTCCCTAAATTTTTTTTTTTTATAAATTCACCGAAAAAAATGTATTTCATTAAATTTATTTACATTCATTAAAATTAACATATTAGTTACCTTTATTTTTCCCTATATCAGGCATCACAGTACCTTTTTTCCTCAAAAAAAAAGTGAAAAGGGGAATTTTTTTTCCTGAAAAAGGGGATAAAAATTTATTTGTTTATACAACTTGCATATATATAATTCAAATTTTTTATCATATAGCTTTCATAACATTTTTTAAAAATGATTCGATTTTAATCAGTTGCCACAAACATTTAATTTATTTTTCCCTGAATTTTTCCTGATTTACAGACAAAATTTTGACTTTTTCCCTCAAGAATATTCTGCGATTCACTCTAAATGTGATTAGTTTCTTCAAAAAAAATGTTCTATTACATTTATTTACGAATTTCTTTAACTGTAAAATTATTAAAAAACAGCAATAACTTCTTTTTAAAAAAAAAATTTAATCACTGTTATTTTTCCATAGGAATTAAGATTTTCAAAACATTCATATTTAAATCTTTTTAAAATTCAACAATTTATAATAATTAAAGATGACCGAGTGATAAGATCATTATTTTCTACTATAAAAAATATTTTTACTGTTACTTCTTCAAAATTATTTTCATCAAAAATATGAAAAATTCAGATTATCAAAGATTTCAATTTGAAACTCTTTCAAAATTCAATTATTTTTAAAAATTCACGCTATAATATGCTTTTAATATTCAATTATTATGTCAAATTTTAACTAAAATTCACTTAAATCAAGGAACAAAAAGTTTTGAACGTTCAAATGAACGAAATATTTTTTGTTAAAAATATTTTCATAGTTTATTGATAACAATTAATGTTAAAAACTTAAATTTTACATTTAGAAAAGTTTATAATTAATTTGTTTAATAGTGACGCAAAATTTTGTATTAAAAGTTTAATTTGAAGAAGAAATAAATAAATTTTGTTCATTTGAACGTTCAAAACTTTAAGATCATTTAAATCAATTTCTATTAGAAAATTCTACGAGAATTCAATTATTTAAATAGAAAGATAAATAATCTGAATTGAATAATTGAATGTTTCTTGATATTGAATTCTCAAAAAGAATGTTATCAACAAATTTTTAAATAATTAATTTCTTTCGACGAATTTTAATGAAAGTTTTGAAAATAATTACATTTTTCGAGGTATTTGATTAAAATTGTACTAACAGGGCTCGGATCGACTTTAAGACCCAAAAAAAAGTCGCGAAAAGTCGCATAAAATTTTAGAAAAAACGACAAAAAAGAGGCATAAAATTGTAGAATTTTTTTTAAAAAATGGCAAAATATTAATGGGATTTATTAGAATTGAGTGTAGAATGTAACAAAATATTTTTATGAAAATTACTTTATTTGTAGTTTTTTTTATTTGCAATGAGACACAAAAATAATTATTTCTTTTGTTTTTATTAACATTTTTGTCAATGTAAGTAAAAATACTACATTTGAGCGAATAACTGACGATAGAACATAGTTTTTTTTTATATTTACGATGAGACACAAAAATAATTTTTAATCGTAATAATTAATTTTGTAACGCAAAGAAATACTTAAATGAATCGAATAATCGGTTTGATTATTATTTATTTAAAAATTTACTTTTTTTTTATTATTTTTTAATTATTATAAAACATGAAGATATCGATTGCTCCGAGTCGAAGACTCGATTTCTTCATGTTTTATAACAATTTTTTATAAGTTGTTTAATTTCATAAAGGTTTGAATTCGAATCTTTTGAAGAATTTTAATTCCTATGGAAAAATAATAATAATTAAATATTCATTTAGAAAAAAAGTTATTGATGTTTTCGAATAATTTGAAAGAAATTCGTAAATAAATGTAACACAACTTTTTTTTGAGTAAATTTTTTTCCTTTATTTTCTAAAAATTTTAAAAGTTTCAATTTCATTTTCAATTAAACCTTGTAATTGACAAATAGAATTTTTAAACATTTTTTTTCCTTTATTTTTAAGAAACTTTGAATTTTATAGCAATTGTAATGAAGAAATAGAAATAGTACAAATTTCTTACTTATGAAAATTGCGAAGTTTCTACAAAAATATTAAGAAACGGGAATATATAGTGTTTCTTTTCAAAAATTTTAAATATTTCAAATATTATTTTATTATAAATCATGAAAAAATACTTGCATATTTTTGATTTATCAAACAATATTTTTTAAAGAAAAAAAAGCATACACAAAAACTAACTTCTAAGTGTGGACAGACAGACTTCATGAAATAATGAAATATGAAGATTATTATTTAGTAAATAATAATAAATAGTTTAGAAAAAAAGATTTCTGCTATTTAAAATTTAAGTCAAAAAGTAATTGAAAAATGGGAAAAAAATCGATTAGTCGCATTTAAAAAAAAAAAAAGTCGAAAAAGTCGTACAATTTTAGTAACTAAAAATAATAGAAATTCTGCTATGAGTTTGATTACCTATTTATGAAAATAATGGAATTATTGCGAAGAAATTTATAAAAAATTTGTAAATAATAGAATTCTTGTGCAATTATTTTATTATTTATGAAAATAATTAAACGTTTGCGTAGAATTTTAATAACAATTTTTTTTAAATAATTGAATGCTTTTGGAAAGTTTTATTTAAATAGTAGATATTGAAAATAATTGAATTTAGGGAAATTTTTGCAAATAATTGAAATTTTGCAAAGAATTTGATTAAAATTTTTGAAAATAATTGAATTTTGAAGAAGAATTTTATTACCTATTTATAAAGAGAATTGAAATTTTGACGAGAAATTTCTTTAAATTTTTTAATATAATTGAATTTCTGCGAAGAATTTGATTATTTTTGAAATTTTTTCAAGTTCATCTATTTATGAAAATTATAAACGAAACTATTTTAAAGTTCAATTAATTTTGAAATGTATAAATAAAATTATTCATTAAATAATTTCGAAGTTATAATTTTATGATATATAGTTCTTCAAGAATTAAGATATTTAAAAAGAAATTATTGTCAGAAATGAAAAAAATTAAAGGTTTTGTATTATAATTTTTGTTTTATTTTTAGAAAAAACTATTAATAATAATAATTTAATTATTTGAATGTTAATTTATTGTTTTTCTAGTTTACATTCTGTTGAATGAACCACCTTATAATTTATAAAATTCTTTACGATATCTATATTATTTCAATCATTAACATAAAAAACATATTTATATGATGTTGTGGTGTTAATAATCTAAATCAAAAATAAAACGCACTGAATTCTATAACATTGAGTCTAAATTTTATGATTACACTTTGGAAAAGATTTCAAAAAAAGAAAAACTTGTTTATTTTTGATTAAAAAAAGGTGAAAAAGGGGACAAATCAGCAAAAAGGGGAAAAAGGGACCCACTGTGATGCCTGCTATATTAAAACTTGAATAAAAAATTTAGAAATATTAAATTAAGTAGTTAAATTTTACTAAGAGTAGAATTGTAATAATCAAATAAAATAAAAATGTAAATGAAAATAAATCAAATAAAAAATAAACACTTTGAAACAAATAAATATTTTGTTGATTATCAAATTATCGATAATTTTAATGAGATACAATTTTTTGAACTCTTTTCCGATAAGAATTTATGTATACTTGTAACTGCGAATATAGAAGATGAAGAGAATACTGAAATTTAATTTCTCTTTTTCCATAGTGAAAATAATCTGATGAACATGAATTACATTTGATTTCAGTGCCCACCATGTAAAGCCTTCACACCTCAATTGGTAGATACATATCAAAGAATTCGAGAAAGAGGACACAATTTCGAGGTCATTTTTGTCAGTTCAGATAGGTAAGTTAATATTCATTTTTTTTAACATAAAACTCTATCTACAAAAATAAATTTCATCTAATAATTTACACTAAAAAAAATTTATTTGCATAAAATAACCGATTACTTGTCTATTATGAAAATTAATATTTATTCGAATTATTTTATTAGTAATATTTACAGATTGTATTAGAAAATCTGCTTCCTAATTTCGATGATCAGAAGCGAAAAAAAAACTTTTTTAAATAACTAAATTTTTTTTTATTAATAGATAAATTCTTATAAACAAATTTTATAAAAATGATTAATAATGATTCATTTTTCTCGGAGAATTTTATAACAAATTTTCTAAATAATTAATTTCGTTCAAAAAAAACTAATCATTCTATCTATTCACTGATAAATAATATTTTTTTCTCCCAATCTGAATTGGTTGCACCTGTGCAAATTCTATTGGATAGCAGTACATAAAATTTTGAGATATTTTAAATAATATTCAACATAAACAGTATATAAGTTGGAGAATCACGTATAATTTTTAAAGTCTTCTGTTACGTGACATTAAAATTTGAAACAAAAAAGAAATAGTGAACTTCGTCTGATTATTCCTGTGTATTAAATATACGAATAAGTTTGACACCAAGGCGGTAAGAATTTACAATTTTAAGGATGAAATTAATATTTATTCGAATTATTTTATTAGTAATATTTACAGATTGTAAATTAGTATTTTCATGATTATTCTCTCTGTAACAAATTTTCATGTTCAATTAATTTTTATTTTCACTTAAAAAAAAAAAAATTGAAATTCAATAAATTTTTTGAAAATATAAATGAAAATCTGTCAAAAGAAGTAGGTATAAATAAAAAAGTAAAATAAGAACAACGCTTCTCTTTTTTGTATCTATTGTGAATAATTTTTTGTTTAATACATAGTTAAATTAATTGTAATTAATTTAACTTAATTAATTAAGTTAAATTAATTACAATTAATTTAACTAGGTATTAAACTAGCAATAATGCAAATTTTAGTATTAATTTATATTTATAATTAATTTGTTATCACCAAAAATAAATTCCTTTTTGTGACCAGTATAAATGCTTCTTAATCAGAAATATTTTTTCTATAAAAGATAAAATTTATTAAAATTTCTTCAAAAAAAATTATCTATATGTTCCACTAGGAGACAAATAAATACAAAAAAAAATTAGGACAATAATATTTTTAATATTCTTATGCGATTTCACTAAAAAAAAAATGACTGAAGCAATCGTAAATTTTTCAAAATAATTTTCCTAAACTTTGAAAGTTTAAACGAACGAAATTTTTTTTCTATTTAGATATTTTTAAAAGTTACTATATAGGGTCAATTGGGGTAAATGTAAACGGAATATCTATGTTTCACCAAAAACATTATTTTTTTTTGTTAAAAGGTAAAACGGACGGATTTTTTTTGCATGAACTTGTTACTAGAGTTCCCTAGAAAAATTATATGAGGTTCAAAAAAATATTGATGCACCTGAATCGCCTAAAACTGACTGTTTACATTTACCCCGAGATTTTGAAATTTTCCTAAAATTTGGGGTAAATGTAAACACCACTGTAGTTAAGCGAGGTTTAAGAAACAAGTTATTTCAAGTATACTACTGTTTTAAGGGATGGAAAAACTGATAAAAATTCTTCGTAGATGTATAGTAAATCAACCAGTTGACTGATAATGTATCATATAAAATAAACAATTAACCATTACAAAACTAGTAATGTAAAAACTTGAATAACTTGAACAAATTTTAATAGATTTTCATTCAACTTGGTAAAAAGAAGTTATTAAGGTTGCTGAATAAGAATCTAAAATCAAATTTTTAAATTTCAAAATGGTGGATCTAATATGGCGGATGAACCTAAAAATAATATTTTTTAAAATTGATCAAATTTGCTTGAATCTGGCTACTCGGTGGTTTTCGAGGTCTCTGAATACGAATTTGAAGTCAAATTTTAAATTTTCAAAATGCCGGATGAACCTAAAAATATTTTTAAAAATTGATCAAATTTTCAAAAAAATTTTTTTTTTTTCAAAGAGGACTTAATTTCCTTTTCTATGTAATTTTACATTCCCAAATTAATGAAATTGTGAAATAGAAGCAAATTTATTCAATTATTTTCTTTTAAAATGTAGTTCAAGTTCTGTTTACATTTACCCCGAGTTTTCGAATTCTCGGGGTAAATGTAAACACTTAATTATTTATTAACTAAATTGACGAAAATCAAAAATCAAAGTCAATTTTTGTTAGGGCATTAATAAGGAAGAATTATATATATATTTTTTATTTTTAAATTTATTTTTATGCAAATGCGAGACAAAATACTGAAACAGTAAAACTTTGATTTTCAATCTTTTTTGCATTAAAAGATAACTTACACTATGGCATTGCCAATTGTCAAAATAAAATATTGGCAATACTCAGAACATCTTGTAGGTGAGCTGAGGTAAAAATATTGACGTCGTACTTATTTTTTAATTTGTAAATTTAGCTCAAACATCTACTGTTTACATTTACCCCTTGTTTACATTTACCCCAAATGACCCTAAAAAATAATTATAATTAAACTTTTACATAGTTAAAAATTAATTCTTTGAAGGTACAAAAATATTTCTTTGTAAAAAAAATATAAATTTAAAACAGTAAATGAATGTTATCGTTTAAAACTTCAGGAACATTAAAAAAACTACTTTTATATTCTAAGCATTGTACTGATAAAAGTCTGATATTATTTTTATGATTGGATAACTTTAGGAAATTTTTAATCTTCTTTTACAAAATTTTTTTAAACACTGAAAATAAAATTTCTACTACTTTAAAATTCTGTCTATAAAATCGTAATCCAAAAACAAACATATTTTCTCATAGAGTTAGAATGCAATCTTTTAGAATTACTCAAATATCATTTTTTCGCAAATTAGGTACATTTTTTAATTTCACATTTTTAATTCACAATTTGTGATTTTACTAAACTGATAATAAAACTTTAGCAGAAATTTTAAATACATTTTTGTGACAAATTTAACGTCAATTGATTAAATGTAATTAAAGTTTTGCAGTTTTTTAATGTATTATTTACTCTACAATTTTTTTTATTTTATTTATTTTTTATTTATTTGTTTATACACCCGTCTTATAAGCCTACAATCTTGGCTATACAAGTGTTTTTACAACCGTAGAACATTCCTTACAAACATTTCTTAATACTAAATTTTTGCGCCTACAGAGCGACTTGAAAATTAGGAGTACTCGCATTTGACTGGACCACCCGTCTAATGGGTTTTCTCGCCAGTGGAGAGGGAAACTGTAGAAAACCTCTCCTGAGTACAACCGGTTTATCGACAGTCGAATTCTAATGGTGTGTACCGGACAATAATCGACGGTGCACATCATTATACTTCGACGTCAAACCTCCCGCTCAAATTATCTCACGTGCCGGAAAAATCCCAGGCTAATGGGCGCGAACCAAGTACCCTTGGTCCGCCCACCGAGCCAGGCATTTATCCGACCGAGCCAATCTGTCGGTATTTACTCTACAATTCTCAACTTATAATTTGTAATTTCGTTATTCTCAGGAAATAATGTGACTTAAAGACTATAAAAAGATTGTTTATAAAGTTTGAATGCAATTAATTAGAATTTATTTTTATATTCATAAATTTCATACACGGAGAAAATGTATTCTTGAAATTTTACTGAATTTAGTTCGGTAAAACTGGGATGAAGTGTAAAACAGTAATTTTTCAAGAAGTAGACTGTAAAAGCAATTGCATTAAAAGATAATGTAAAAAGCATAAACCTTACGATACATGCATTAGCGCTTCACTTATACAGTTCGGTAAAACGTAAGATAAAGTGTTCGATAAAACTGACGAGTTATAATTTACTGAATAGTTCGGTAAAACTTTAAGAAAAAAATTCAATTAATCTTTTTCAAAAAAATTAATTTCAAAAATTCAATTATTTATAAAAAATCACACTATACGGCTTTTAATATTAAATTTTTATCTAAAATTTGAAGTGAAATTTATTTTTAATTCAATTATTTAAATAAAAAAAATAATTTATTGAATAATTGAATTCTCATAATGAATTTTATCAATAAATTTTTAAATAATTTAATTCTTTCGACGAATTTTATTTAATTAAAAATAAATAAAATAATTTCCATTTTATAAAACAATTTTTGAAAAATGTTTTCGGTTATTTTCAAATAATTTAAATATTATCTACTTGATTATTAACTTTCGGTTCTTATTTAAACTATTGGATATTTATCGATATGGAAATTTCAAGAATTTATTTTTAGCAATTGTGCCAGGTATATAAAGTTAGACAAATGTATTTCATGAACTAAAAAAACTATTGAATATTTATCCGCTAATAAAAAAAAAAAAAAAAAAAAAAAAAAAATCCTTACAAATTTGAATTAGTAACTGACTTTTTGCATTTGAATTAGTAATATTTACTAATTCAAAAGCAAAAAAGTAAGTCACTAATTCAAATTAGTAGACATTTTTACTAATTCTAATTATTTTACTAATTTGCCGTAACACTTGATTTACGAAATTTCGATTATTCAGAAATTCTTCAATTGAATACGTATTAAAAAATAAACACTTCAAATAATTTTAGAAAAAAATTCAATGAAACTTTTTAAAAAAAATTAATTCTACAGATTGTTAGTTATAAGTATGGAAAATTTAGATTTTAAAAGATTTTAATTTGAAACCTTTTCAAAATTCAATTATTTCTTAAAATTCATGCTATAATGCTTTTAACCCCTTTGCAGTCAAGACCAAAATCTCATAAGTGGGCTCAAAATGTCGACAACTTTTTAGAAAACTAAAATTTGCGCAAACGAGCATACTATTGTATTTGAAGTCGCTGATTACGAATCCGATATCAGATTTTGAAAATTCAAAATGGCGGATCCAATATGGCGGACATGAAAATTAAAAATCGACTGACTAAAATTTATCGGATTCACTTAAAACTTTTTACTCGGGGGTTTTCGGGGTCGCTGATTACGAATCCGATTTCAGATTTTGAAAATTCAAAATAGCGGATCCAATATAGCGAATGAAATTTTCTAAAATTTATCGGATTCATTTGAAACTTGTTACTAGAGGGTTTTCGCTGATTACGAAAAACTTTTGAAACGATAATAAATATAAAATTTTTCCCCGCAGTCAGCTGTTAAGTATACTACGTTACTTACGACCCCAGAGTTTACCGCGTGGAGGTATTACATTTTTAATCTACGACATCATTAAATCCCAAGTAACAACTTTTAAGTTAATCTGATAAATTTTTTAAAATGGCGCCAGCCATATTCGAAACGCTACATTGTATTTTAAAAATCTTATGCTACATTCGTAATCAGCAGAGTAAAAAAAAACCGCCGAGTAACAAGTTTTAAATGAATCCGATAAATTTTTGAAAATGTCGTCCGCCATATTGGATCTGCCATTTTGAATGTTCAAAATCTGATATTGGATTCGTAATCAGCGACCCCGAAAACCCCTGAGTAACAATAAGTTTTAAGTGAACCCGATGAAGTTTTGAAAATGTCGTCCGCCATATTGGATCCGCCATTTTGAATTTTTAAAATCTGAAAACGGATTCGTAATCAGCGACCCCGAAAACCCCCGAGTATTAATTTGTGGACAAATCGAGGAGCATGATTATTTCCCAAATGTCATTTGACCGAAATGTAATTTTACCGAATTGCATTTATCCGAACTGTTATTTTAACGAAGTCTCACTTTTGCGAAACGCCATTTTCGTGAATTGACACTTTTGCGAAAAGTCATTTTTGCGAAATATCATTTTTACGAATTGTCATTTTTACAAATAGTTATTGTTCCGAAATGTCATTTTTTCGAAAATTGCTGTAGTAAACTTGTATGCATATATACATTTATTATAGCAATTTTCGCAACAGTGACATATTTCGTAAAAAAGAGAATTAGAAAAAATGGCAGTTCGCATAAATGACAATTCGTAAAAATGATATTTCGCAAAAATGACTTTTCGCAAAAGTGACAATTTGAAAAAATGACGATTCGCTAAAGTGACATTTCGTTAAAATAACAGTTTGGATAAATGCAGTTCGGTCAAATGACATTTAGGGAATAATCATGCGCCTCAATTGAAATTATGACGAGAATATTTAAAAAATTTTGAATATAATTGAATTTCCTAAAAGAATTGCATTACTTTTGAAAATAATTGAATTTATGCAATCATTTACAACTTTTCCAAAATTCAATTTTTGTAATAATATTTTAAAGTAAAATTCTTCTATTAATCCATTATTTTTAATAATTAATTAAATATATATTAAAAAATTTAACTATAATTTCAGAAAGAATTTGAATAATTAAAATTTTTCAAAAACCTAACATAAGTGAAGAAAAACTGAAGTTAGAGGTGCACGGAAAAAAATTTTTACTGTGGGATACAGCTAATTTCGAAAATAAATAATATAAAGAATCTATGCAACTAATTCAGTGAATGATTTCCAATGCAGTAGTCAAACTGTTTCTCTGATATAGAGAAAATGAATTTCACTGGTCACCCATATTGGAAATATTTGACAGTTTACCATTCTCATAGAAATTTCTCTAAAATCACAAATGTTAAATTTACATTTCTTACCTCTAAATACGTATTAATTTACTAATTTTACATTTTATTAGTTATAACATAAAAATGTAATTAATAGAATTTGAATATACGCCTTGAACGTTAATTTAAAAATGTTTTCATTCAAGTGTTATTTTGAGGTTGTGTTGTTTTCAAAAGGTAACGCAAGAAATATCATTTTCGCTGGATCAGCGAAAATGGATTATCGGTGGAGCCAAATCAGTGAAACTTATAGCTATTATAGTGAATTCAAAACATAATTTAATATGTCAAATGAAAAAAGATTTTTAAGTATGTTTATAAGTACCATACAGAAAGAGGCCACGCGCGCGAGTTATTTTAGGAATCAGTAAAACAATAATTTATTAAAATCCTTATTATTCTCAAATTTTTATGTTAAAATTTTAAAATATGCATATTTTGAATAACAGTGCAAGTTTGACATTATTAAACTAATTAATAGTAAATTAATCTTTCTGAAATATTAAATAATAATTGTGTGTCTTACTTACTGTTATTCAGATTTAATTAAAATGAATATAAGTTATGTTAGAAAAATAAGTATGTTGTTGCTATTTTATATTTTCTTTTTGTATGATTTAAAAACATTTATTACATATCTGACCAACTATTAATGTGAAAGTTTATTATTTGAAGAAAATTTTATCGAACTATTCCTGAAACATTAGTGCCCATAAAGGAGGTATTCAATATAAACGTTAAAATTTTATTTAATTTATATTAAACGTTCAGTTTAAATATTTTTTGAACTTTTACAGTACTAGCTTGTAAGGAATTAAGATATGACATTAAATTTTTAATATTATTACTAAAAAAATAATTTAAAAATTATTATTTTAAGATTAGACTTAATATCTAAGAGACTGCCAAGTTTCATTGCAATCAGTTTAGTTAATAATATACATATTATTTTCAGACATTTAAATATCCACTGAGAAAAGTAACTATATATTTATTAACAATCATGATAAGATTAGCAATAATCTGCTTCCTAATTTCGATGATCAGAAGCGAAGAATGTGTTTTCAATATTGATGAAGTAGATGAATTAAAACAACTTTTCCATGATTCTGAACGTCGAATCGAAGCAGCAACTCGAGGTCAACGTGGAAATGCGGCAATTGTCATAGGCAGTGCAAGAAGTGGCAAAAGTACACTAATTAATTACTTGATGGGAAATGCATTGAAAGCTTATAGAGAGAATGGTGAAATTAAAATAAGAAAAGCTAATGAAAATAGTCCAGGACCAGAAATTGGTGCTGGATCAGTGTCAGTGACTACAATTCCCACAAGATGGAACTCAGAAAGGTCAGCATTACAGAATTTGGACTTCTGGGATACCGCTGGATTTGAGGACAATAGAGGTGAAAAGGAAGATATAAATAATGCCTTTCATATGTATCATTTGACAAAAAAGGTCGATTCTCTGAAACTTATTTTAGTTATCAGCTATAACGACATTACTAGTGGAAATATTAATCAGATTTTAACACTTTTAAAAACTGTAGAAGGATATTTTAATAACACGTTTGAAGATATTTTCCCAAGTATATCAGTAATTATCTCAAAAGCACCTAACCAAATTAATAATGATTATCCAGTCGATTCTGAATTCCTCAATTATAAATTAAATACAAATTTATTATCAAGTCCAGAATTGGATATATCCGAAGTTTCAAAAGGCTTTGTACGGCATATAATAAATAATAACCAACGTGTAGCCTTCTTCAGGAAAGTGAAAAAAGTAGGGAGAGTTACTTCTGACATCGATGATAATATTATTCCAGCTATTACTAACTGCGATAGCATACGCAAGCCATCTCATCAGGATATAGGTTTCACATTTTCAGTCAACTCGAAACTTTGCCTGCAAAAGACTAATGATGATTTACTGAACATGAGGGAATTTGTAACATTACAGACAAAAGTGAATGACTGGTTCAAAGAAAAGTTTGATGCTTGGAATAAAGTGGCAGATAAAAATATATTAAGAGCAAATGGAGACAATTTAAAAATAATTTTTGAACGTACTGATATTTCTTCATTGAATACTTCTAATGCAAAGTTTAAAATTGAAATTCTGGAAAATAGTGATAATACTATTAGAAACTTCATTGAGGGGAACAATTTGGTGAATAAAATCAGCCTAACTGAATTTATTGATAGTATAATTACAACAGAAAAAATGATAAGAATCAATATAGCATTAGAGGCTATTATTACAACATTATATGACAGAATGATGCACTTGATTTCATTATGTTTATTGAAGATTAACGAATTAACAATAACAGAACATGAAGAAAAAATTAGAATAGAAAAAGAGTTGATTGAGAAACAAAAAATATATTTTAAGAATAAATTAGCACAACTGAGAGAAAAACCAAAAGAGAAAAGCATTTGGGAAATAATTATAGAAAATCTTGCACTGTCTGCGCAAATGGACAGACGACCATAATTTAAAAAAGTAGTTTTATTTTTCAGTTTTCATTCCTAATTTATAATCAATTGAATAATTAATTATTTCTTAAAATTGAATTTTTATAAAAAATTTAATTAAAATTTTTAAAATTAATTGAATTTTTTCCAATATTTTCAGCAAAATTTAAATAAATGTGACCTGAACAGTGAAAAGTGACCTTACGTGCGAAAACAAGTTTTCGAGAAAACAGCAGTTAAAGTTTAACTTAGAAAAACCCTTGTAACTTTTTTAAATATTAATATTTTTTAATCAAGTTAGGCTTATTTTCTTCACCGTGAATCACAGCATCAAAATAAAAAACATACAAGTAATGAAAATTTTTTTTTAATAATTGTTTATATAAATTAATAACAAACTCCCCAAACATAGAAAAAATAATCTAAGTTTTCTAACTAGCAACAATAAGTATAAATAAGTGACACATGTTTGTAAGGGTTTTCGAGGCCGCTGATTACGAATATGATGTTAAATTGACAATTCGACAGTTGACAGCTGTCAACTTCTCTAAAAAGTGATCGTTTTTTGTAAAAAAAAAGACAGTAATAAGGTTAATTTGTATAATAACAAAAAATCAGTTTTTTCGTATTTTTACTCTTGTTTCTTCTGACTTTAAAATTTTTTTTTAAAACTTCTAATCAACTTATGATTTTTTGGTTTTCACCATCTTAAAGAGCGTTTCAAACCCTATCCGAATCAATAAAAAAGTAAAAAATGATTTTTTGACACGTAAGGTCCCTTTTCATAGACCAGGTCACAAATAATTGATTTTTTTCGACAAATTTATTATTAAGGTAGCCACAAAAATTTAATTTTTCCCCCCGACTTTTTTCTGATTTCCAGACAAAATTTAGACTTTTTCCCTGACCCCAAAGAATATTCTGATTCACTCTAAAATGATTAGATACTCAAAAAATATTCATGTTTTATAATAATTAAAGATGAACGAGTGATAAAATCATTATTATTTTATATTATAAGATTATTGTTACACCAACTTACTCTTCAAAATTATTTTTACCATTTCAATTCAATTATTAGTTTCTAAAATTTTTGAAAAAGTTAGTTTATAATTTTTAAATGCATTTGTTTACAATTCAATTTTACGAAATTTCGATTATTCGAAAATTCTGCAATTAAATATATTAGAAAATAAAATCTTCAAATAATTTCAAAAAAAATTTTCAATTAAACTTTTTCATAAAAATTAATTCTACAGAACTGTTAGTTAAAAGTATGAAAAATACCAGGTTGAAGTCCACAACGTTTATCAACGAAAAAAGTTTTTCAATAAGTGGTAATTAATAGAAAAAAAAGGAAAAAGCAACAATACTGCCACAAAAATTTATTAAAAAGGTAGAGTTTTATTTATATTTTAATAATAATTGTTGTATATTTAACAAAAATATAATATTCAAATAAATTAAAAAAGTGTTTTCGTTGATCAACGTTGTGGACTTCAACTTCGTTGAAAAATTTAAATTTTCAAAGACTATTATTTACGAAAATAATGGAATTTTTGCGAAGAAATTTATAAAAAAAATTGTAAATAATTGAAATCTTGTGAAATTTCTATTATTTATGAAAATAATTAAATGTATGCGTAGAATTTTATCAACAATTTTTTTTTAATAATTGAATTTTTTTTATAACAAACAACATTTTTAAAAAGTTTAAATTAAATTTGAACATGTTATTAATTAAAATATAATATAGATGCTTATTTTGATTAAGGATTAATTAAAAAAAATAATATTAACTGGAATCAAATAATTTTTATTCAAAACAATTAAATGGTATTTAAACCAATAATTTCAGTAATTGAAGCAAATATAATTAAATTGACTCAAAAATTATTAGATACAAGTAAATATTTATTTGATAGCAGACATGTAATCGGATATATTTTTTCCAGTGTAGTACAACACAATAAATATAATATGCAATAAAAATTTAGTCTAATTTCTTTTTATACATTTTGTTTTACAGGAGAAAAAAGAAAGTGAATTTATATATAAAAAGTTGAAAATAAAATTTACATTTTAATGCGTATTTTATATTTATTTTAGAAATATAAAATATATGCGGGCAAAGAGAAGTGAAAAACAGAAAAAAATTCCAGACAAAATATATGTTTACGAAGAAAACCATATTCCATTGAGGTGTCAGGATACATCACAAGAAAATGTAAATCCATGTGTATTTTATCAGGAAGTTTCAGAAGCTTCCAGTATAGTATATATGCTCATAAAACTTGTTAAAGTCGTAGTGAAGATTCATGTTTTCGCACATACCCAATAACGATACAAAATAGTTCTCTAAGTGCATTTTCTCGTCTCAAGCAAATAAATTAAAAAATTTCTCTCCTTCTCTAAATTTTCACTTATCAATGACAATAATAACGACAATAAATATAATAAAAAAATAATTGTTATAATACCAATGATAAAAATAATACCTAATAATAGCAATAACAGGCTTCAAGGAAGAAATTAATGCAATAGAAAACCGGAAGTATTGCCTTTTACATATAATAAAAAACTTACGTGGGTCAAACCATTTTATTTCGCCTAATGTATTTTTGATCTTTATAAAAAATTTCAATATTTCGGGAAAATATTCTTATATGTTTTGGGATTACGAAATGCACAATGATTTGTAAAAAATAATTTCATTTCATATAAAAAAAGATATTATAAATTGAGAGTACATGAAAAAAGGTTACATTGACAGGCATTACAAAATATTTAAAAAAGGAGTAATCTCTTTAAGAAATATAAAAAAAGCGATTGATATTTATTTTTAAAGACTTAATTTGTGATTTGAACTTGATAAAAGTATCAAATAATTTATAATAAACTGTAAAATATGTTATTTAAGTTTCTGTATGAAATGTCAAAAATCGATCATATTTAATAATTTTTTTTGACAAAGTAATTTAATTTTCGTAAATCAGAATTATTTAAATAATAAGTATTTTAAATACACTTTATTATTATTTAAATACGTTTTTGATTATCAACTGAGAAATATAACAAAATTTACCTTAAAAATTAACCATTCTTCATTTTATCGGGATTTTGAATGTTTGTAACTTCGTTGGAGAAAACCCGATTTATGCCAAATTTTTGGAGCACGTAGATTGAAGCAATATTTTCCTGCTACTAAAATTTCGCGATGGGTTTTGCACTAGTTTTCAAAAGAAATTGATTTTAAAAAATTGTTTATTCAATTATTTAAATACAAAATTAAATTTTTTGTAATAATTGTAACTTTAACTAGGCATGTTTTGTTTAAAGTTATATTAATGTGTTATATTTACAAAAAAATTTTAATAAAGAAATTCTTTATATTAAGTTTTTAAAAATATTTATAATTAATTTTTGTAAAATAATAGTTTTTCAATTATACAATTGAAAAATTTTTAAATAATTGAAATTTGGTAAAGTCTTTAAAAAATAATGGAAATTTGTTAAAATTTTTCAAAACTTATTAAATTTTTAAAAAATATAAAAGAAAAAAAATTTGTGAAGAATTTTAATTATAAAAATTAATTTCTCCAAAATTTTATGAAGTCTAAAGAAGTAAATTTTTAAAATAATTTACTTTGTTCAAAGACAATTGAATCTTAGAAAATTGTGATAAAACACTTCAAAAAATTAGTTTTTTAAAAATATTTTAATGTAATTTTTCGAAAATAATTGAATTTCTTAAAAGAACATGATTGTGTTCTCCTAAATGTTAAAATAATTTTTAAAAAAAACTTTAATTATAATTTAATTCTTGGCGAGAATTTAAAAAAAATTTTGAAAATAATTTAATTTCTGCAAAGTATTTTATTACTTTTCAAAACAGTTGAATTCTTGTGATGAATTTTCATATTTATCAAAAATAATTAAATTTTAGAAAAGAATTTTATTAAAATTCTTTAGAATAATTGATTTTATGAGAAAAATTTTCTTCTTTATCAAGCTAATTGGATTCTTTTGCAGAATTACTTAAAAATTTGTAAAAATAATTAATTTTCTGCGACGAATTAAATGTTATTTGTGAAAATATTTGAATTATTGCAACGAACTTTATTATTTTATTGAATGTTTCTTAAAATTGAATTCTTTTCTCAAGTTTTAATAGAAATTTTTAAGAATAATAATTGTATTTTTCAAGGAATTTATTTAAAATTGTATTAAAAATATTTGAAATTCTTCGATGAAAATAATTCACTTCCTAAGTGAAATTTTATTATTTATGAAAATAATTGAATGTTTTCGTAGAATTGTATCAAAATTTTTTTCCAATAATTACATCTTTTGATAAATTTTATAAAAATAGTAAATATTGAAAATTATTTAATTGCGAAAAAGTTTTGAAAATAATTGAAATTTTGCAAAGAATTTTATTTAATTTTTGTAAATAATTGAATTTTTGTCCAAAAATTTTGCTATTTGTAAAGATAATTGAATTCTTGATGAGATATTCGTTAAAATTTTTAAAAATAATTGAATTTCTTCGAAGAATTTTATTCCTTTTGAAAATAATTGAATTCTTGTGATGAATATTGTTATTTATGAAAATAATTGAATTTTACAAAGAATTTTATTCAAATTCCTAAAAATAATTGAATTTCTGTGAAGAATTTTGTTATTTATCAAAAGTTAATTGCGTTAAAACTTTTCAAATAAGTTAAATAAGCAATAAAAATTTGCATTTTATACTAAAAATGTGGTATTGTTTTGCAATATTTGGAAGAAAAGTCGAAAAAGTATTATTACTATTTTATAATAGCAATCATCAAAATAAATTACTATGAAGAATATTTTTAATAAAAAAAAAATTATATAACACACTTGATTTATACGATTAAATGTTGACACTGCGTTTCCCTAGATTAATTTATTACGGTTAAAAAATCTTGTTAAAAATTGATGGTCTCGAAAAAGTTTAGATGTACGAAATAGGGGATAAGAGGGTCGTAAATAATGGTTCGGAAAGTAAATTTCCTTGAAATTCGCCTGGTTTTTCTCATCCCCCAATTCCCCATATAACACACAAACATACACACAATTTTCCCCGTTTTCTTCTCTACATCGAGAAAAAAAACCCCCAGAGGCATCGCAAGAGAACGCATTTTTTTTATTTATACAAAAAAAAGCAAAAAAAATTCCACTGAAGAGATTGCGAATCTCAACTCTTTATTCCCTCGCACAACATATGCACCTTTATGTCAATATCAAAAATTCCTTCTGTATTAAGTGCAAACATACGCTTTTGAATTATTTTCCACG